TGGGAGCCAGCCCTGCCTCCTGCCTTCCTGTTCCACCCTCCAACTTCTCTTCCCTCCACCTGGTGGTTCTTCTCCTTGGCCTGCACGCACACACACACACACACGCACACGCACACGCACACACACACACGAGTCCTCCATTTCAGTCATTTGGATGGAAAATCTGATCTGGGAAAACTGGGAGGCAGAATCCAGATGGGCCACACCAGGGTTATTTTTTCTCTTTCTCCATATTCCAACCATCCCGTGAAAAGTTGGGCCCAAGAATGCAAACTCAGGAAAACCCAGGGCAGTGCACCGCCAAGATATTTACTTAGCCCATGAGTTTACTTCCATCGCCTGAGGAGGCAGTCTCAGATTTCCTCAGGGCAGCAGCGCGTTGCTGAATCCAGCCAGTTGCTTCTGGACACAGTGTGGTCTCTGCAGCCTCTACACAGTCTTTCTGAGAAAGCAAAGAAATCCTCTCTGGAGGCTGGGCACAGTGGCTCACACCTGTAATCCCAGCATTTTGGGAGGCTGAGGTGGGCGGATCACGAGGTCAGGAGATTGAGACCATCTCGGTGAAACACCGTGAAACACATCCTGGTGAAACACCTGGTGAAATACAGTGAAACAGTTTCATCATCCTGGTGAAACACACGGTGAAACACCGTCTCTACTAGAAATACAAAAAATTAGCCAGGCATGGGGGCATGTGCCTGTGGTCCCAGCTACTCCGGAGGTTGAGGCAGGAGAATCACTTGACCAGGAGGCGGAATTTGCAGTGAGACGAGATCACGCCACTGCACTCCAGCCTGGGTGACAGAGCTAGACTCTATCTCAAAAAATAAAGAAAGAAAAAAAGAAAGCCTTTCTGGAAAGGCCTGTTATAGCAGGCACACAAGTGTGGAGAGTAAAGCTTGAGGAAGCACCGTTCACCATACCCTCTAGAGGTCTCATGACCACCAACCCCACTGGAAACGCAGCAGCAAGCTCAGTTAGGGGCAGGATGAAGGGCTGTGTCGCCCCAGAATTTCCCAAAAGGAAAAAAGCCATAAAACAGAAACAAGTAGGAGCCATCAAATATACATAAAACAGGTGCCTCACGCCTATAATCCCAGCACTTTGGGAGGCCAAGGTGGGCAGATCACCTAAGGCCAGATGTTCGAGACCAGCCTGGCCAACATGGCAAAACCCAGTCAGTACTAAAAATACAAAAATTGGCTTGGAGCAGTGGCTCACACCTGTAATCCCAGCACTTTGGGAGGCCAAGGTGGCAGATCCCCTGAGTTCAGGAGTTCAAGACCAGCCTAACCAATATGGTAAAAGTCTGTCTCCACTAAAAAATACAAAAATTAGCAGGGCATGCTTGTGGGCGCCTGTTATCCCAGCTACTTGGGAGGCTGAGGCAAGAGAATTGCTTGAACCCAGGAGGTAGAGGTTGCAATGAGCTGAGAGATTGGGCCACTGCACTCCAGCCTGGGTGACAGAGCAAGACTCCAACTCAAAAATAAATAAGTAAAATAAAAAATAAAGGCCCAACACGGTGGCTCACACCTGTAATCCTTGGACTTTGGGAGGCTGAGGCTGCTGGATCACTTGAGGTCAGGAGTTTGAGACCAGCCTGGCCAACATGGTAAAACCCCATCTCTACTAAAAATACAAAAAATTAGCCAGGCATGGTGGCAGGCACCCATAGTCCCAGCTGCTCAGGAGGCTGAGGCAGGAGAATCACTTGAACCCAAGAGGCAGATGTTGCAGTAAGCCAAGATCATGCCACTACACTCCAGATGGGCAGCAGAGTGAGACTCTGTATCAAAAATTAAAAAATAAATAAATAAAAATACAAAAATTATCCAGGCATGGTGGCAGGCGCCTGTAGTCCCAGCTACTCAGGAGGCCTAGGCAGGAGAATTGCTTGAACCCAGGAGGCAGAGGTTGCAGTGAGCTGAGATCCCAGCACTGCACTCCAGCCTGGGCAACAGAGCGAGACTGTCTCAAAAAAAAGCCATAAAACTACATATAAAAATTGTGAACAGTGCAATTCTGTTGGTTCCACTACAGTACAAAAGTTGCAAGTTTTTCATCAAGATAGAAAATAAAAACAAAGAAAAATTATTAGCATACTGGTATTAATCAACCAATGATGATACCTCAAATATATCATCTCAACCTAGCTGATGACACCCCCAGGATCCCAGCTGTAACACTCATGTCCATGCTTCTGTGACCTGGCATCTCTTGCATCCTGGGGGTTCACAAGGAGCAACTCTGTCCTCCTAACTATGCTAATTTCTGCCCCTGGGCTTCCATCCAGGGCTTCTGGGTTCTCCTCACTTACTCCGAGTTGTGCCAGGGAGGTAAGCCGGGGTGGGCATCAGGTCATCCACCAACCATCTTCAGAGGTCTTTCCTGGGCCCTTCTGGTCCATCAGTTTCTCAGGCCTGGGCTTTTTTTTTTTTTTTTTTTTTTTTTAACAGAGTCTCACTCTGTTGCCCAGGCTGGAATGCAGTGGTGCAATCTCGGCTCACTGCAACCTACATCTCCCGAGTTCAAGCAATTCTCCTGCCTCAGCCTCCTGAGTAGCTAGGATTACAGTCACCCACCAGCATGCCAAGCTAATTTTTGTATTTTTAGTAAAGACGGGGTTTCGCCATGCTGGCCAGGCTGGTCTTGAATTCCTGACCTCAAGTGATCCGCCTGCCACAGCCTCCCAAAGTGCTGGGATTACAGGCATGAGCCACTGTCCCCAGCCAAGGCCTGGGGGCATCTTTTGCAAGATAGTCCTGACTGCCTACAAGCACTAACATCTATCACTCTCTGAGGACCTGGCTCCCCCAGGACACTCCAAGAAGCAGGGCTTCTGTTCCATCTGCCCTTAGCATTGCCCGATCTTCTCTCTTCTGTCTTCTCTACCATATCTCATAACCCAAGATATGGTTTTTTGTGTTTTTTTGGGGTTTTTTTGCAGCAAGGGGGCTGCTGGAGAAAACTATTTCCTTCCAAATTTCTTCAAGATGCACAGTCTGTTAGCCCAAAACCTCTTTGCCTCCTTACCAAAAAACAAATGAGTAAATCCATTTTGTAAAACAAAAGCCAGGAAGATTTCTTAGCTGCTTTCAACTCTGCGCGTGCCTCCACTCAGGCAATGACAGAGCCAACTGCCTGTTTGCATGGAGAGGGGAATGAAGGAGAGAAAACAAATACACATCTCAAATGATCACCCAGATGCTTGATCCACACACATTTCCTCTCCCGTCACTCAAGAGTTTGGCGGTGCTCAGTTGTGATTTCTTTCTTGATAAACGATATCATTTGAAAGAAAAGTTAGAATAAAAGTTACTCTTTTGTTCCTCCTAACAGGCCCCTAGTACCTATATTTCTCAACCGCCTCTGGCGACCTTTGACCTTCTCCCCATTCCTTCCCTTTCTCTCCCATCACTGTCTCTTCTCAGGCTGACATTCTGAGAGGAGCTGGCCAGAAGTCACCATTGCCCCAGTCAAGAGAAGAAATGGGCCTGGCACAGTGGTTCACTCCCGTAATCCCAACATCCGAGGCAGGTGGACCACCTGATGTCAGGAGTGTGAGACCAGCTTGGCCAACATGGTGAAACCCTGTCTCTACTAAAAATACAAAAAATTAGCCGGGCATGGTGGCAAACACTTGTAATTCCACCTACTCGGGAGGTGGGATTACAGTAAGTAATTTACTGAGAATCACTTGAACCCCGGAGGTGGAGGTTGCAGTGAGCACTTCGGGTCACTACACTCCAGCCTGGGTGACAGAGCAAGACTCTGTCTCAAAAAACAAAGAGAAGAAATGATGACAAAGGCAGCAGCTCAGGTGGCCATACACATCCCCGTGTTTCAGCCCACAATATCCCTGTCCCCACTCCCAACCATGACACATGTGAGCACTTCCTTATTTCTACATCCCAAAATACCCCTTTTAGCCTTCATCTTACTTGGCATCTATCGAAGATGGCCACTCCCACTTCCTTAAAAATCCTACTCTTATTAGATTTGGCTTGAAAGTCACCTCCACCCACCTGGTCTTCCTCCTCTGCTGCCACAGCCTGCCTTTGTGGCCAGATCCTTCCACCTACCCATTCACTGCCATTGCTCCCCAAGGTTCTGTCCTCAGCCCCCTTCTCTCACTGCGTGCACTCACTGAACACCCTCAACCTCTCACAATATTGTAACGCCTACTGAGACCTCAACAATTCCCAAATTCGCACCGCCAGCATCCCTCTGTCTCTCCGACTCTATACACATATATGCAACTGCCTGTTGACTGTTTAGCCTGGAAAACAAAAAGCCAGGGAGAGGATAAAATGAATAATTTTCAGTATTTGAAAGAGTGTCAGGACCACAGAGCAGACAGGCCCAAATGGGTAGATTTCAGCTCAGCACACTAAAGACTTTTGTTTTTTGAGATGGAGTCTTGCTCTGTCACCTAGGCTGGAGTGCAGTGGCGCAATCTCTGCCTCCTGGGTTCAAGCGATTCTCGTGTCTCAGCCTTCCAAGTACCTGGGATTACAGGTGCACATCACCATGCCCAACTAATTTTTGTATTTTTAGTAGAGATGGGGTTTTGCCATGTTGGCCAGGTTGTTCCTGAACTCCTGACCTCAGGTGATCCATCTGCCTCGGCCTCCCAAAGTGCTGGGATTACAGGCATGAGCCACCACACCCAGCCTCCACTGAAGACTTTTCTAACAAACAGCACTAGCCAACAACAAGGGGGCTCCTTCTGAGGCAGTGAGATCCCTGTGACTAGAAGTAGGCATGGCGGATTTCTGCAGATGGCACAAGGCCAAACTAAACGTCTATGTTTTCCCCCATTCTCAGACTGAAACTTCTCAGCTCAGTAGGGATTCAGGTAATTGAAAGATTTTTTTTTAATTGAGTACCTAAAATTACAATTCTTCAATATAGGACACTGGTTAGAAATCATTGTGATATTTCCTTTTTATTCGATTTTTTTAAACAATCATGATTTATTCATCTTTTTTTTTCAGTCTCTGTAGAAACTGTCAAAAATTGCCAATGCCACCTATATTTCAAGTCGTCAAGACAGGGTATTGGGAAAATTTTCAATTAGCAATAATCGCTCCTCGGATAAATCTCATTGGCTACGATACTGCCACTGCGCAAAGCTGTTTATTTATCAAATACTTTGTTTTTTGGGGTTTTTGTTTTGTTTTGAGATGGGTCTCATTCTGTCACCCAGGCTGGAGTTCAGTGGCACAACCACGGGTCACTGCAACCTCTGCCTCCTGGGCTCAAGCAATCCTCCCACCTCAGCCTCCCAAGTAGCTGGGACTACAGGCATGTGCCACCATGTCCAGCTGATTTTTTTTTTTTTTTTTTGTATTTTTGGTAGAGATAGGGTTTCGCCATGTTGCCCAGGCTAGTCTCAAACTCCCAGGCTCAGGAGATCCACCTGCCCCGGTCTCCCAAAATGCTGGGATTACAGGCGTGAGCCACCAAACCCGGCCATACTTTGCATTACAAAGTCATTTGTCTTATACATACACTCTAGTTTTTACAGAACAAAGTCTATTTGGTCACTGATTGAAGGCTTTCAGATTAAAGCACAGTTGCAAACACACCAACTGCCTCTGGACATTTTTCTCCATTCTATTCCCAAACACTGTTTTTAAAGATAGGAAGGTAACAGATAAGGAATTCTAATTAAATCCAAATTCGATTTAACATTTTGAGACAAAGTTTTGCTCTTCTTGCCCAGACTGGAGTGCAATGGTGCAATCTCAGCTCACCACAACCTCCGCCTCCCAGGTTCAAGCAATTCCCCTGCCTCAGCCTCCCAAATAGCTGGGAGAAGAGGATGTGCCACCACATCCAGTTAATTTTATATTTTTAGGAGAGATGGAGTTTCTCTGGGTTGGTCAGGGTCAGGCTGGTCTCAAATTCCCAACCTCAGGTGATCTGTCCACCTCAGCCTCTCAAAGTGCTGAGATTACAGTCATGAGCCACCACCCTAGGCCAACACAAAGACTTTTTAAAGGTTCTTCAAATATCTTGTTCTTTTTTTGTGAGACAGAGTCTCACTCTGTCGACAGGCTGGAGTGCAGTGGTGCAATCTTGGCTCACTGCAACCTCTGTTTCCCGGGTTCAAGCGATTCTCCTGCTTCAGCCTCCCAAGTAGCTGGGACTACAGGTATGAGCCACCACACCCAGCTAATTTTTGTGTTTTTAGTAGAGACAGGATTTCACCATGTTGGCCAGGATGATCTTGATCTCCTGACCACGTGATCAACCCTCCTTGGCCTCCCAAAGTGCTGGGATTACAGGTATGAGCCACTGCACCCGGCCCCTTTTTTCATCACCAGCCTGGGATGTTATCAGGCAACCCTGAATACAGTCAAGGCAAATACTGCACCATTACTGAAGGAAAATGAATTTGTGGCAATATTTACTGAACATTTTCATGCTGGGCCCCATGCTATGAAACACCAATGTTGAGTAAGTCATAGTCCTGTCCTCAAAGAGCTCTTGGCCTAAAGAGGAAGCAGACCCATGAGCCAATGATCACAGGAGAGTAAGATAACCATTGTGATGTCTGTCAGCGAGAACAGGGAAATCTAGACAGAGGACACTTACAAATAAGGTCTTGGCTGGGCGTGGTGGCTCATTCCTGTAATCCCAGCACCTTGGGAAGTCGAGGCGGGCAGATCACCTGAAGTCAGGAGTTCCAGACCAGCCTGACCAACATAGAGAAACCCCATCTCTACTAAAAATACAAAAATTAGCCAGACATGGTGGTGAGGGCCTATAATCCCAGCTACTTGGGAGGCTGAGGCAGGAGAATCGCTGGAACCCAGGAGGCGGAGGTTGCAGTGAGCCAAGATCCCACCACTGCACTCCAGCCTGGGCAACAAGAGAGAAAGTCCATCTCAAAAAAAAAAAATTCAAAAATGAGCCAGGTGTGGTGGCACATGCCTGTAACCCTAACTACTTAGGAGGCCAAGGCAGGATAATGGCTTGAACCCGGGAGGCAGAGGTTGCAGTGAGCCACCAAGATAATATCATTGCACTCCAGCCTAGGAGACAGAGCAAGACCCTGTCTCAGACAACAAAAAAAAGAATAAGGTCTTGTTTAAATACCTAAACACAGAGAGGTGAGGACTACACATTACTGCTTCTCGGCCTTTTGGCTAAGATCAAGTGTAGTATCTGTTCTTATCAGTTTAATATCTAATATCTCTATCCGAGGACAATATACTAAATGGATTTTTGGAGCAGGGAGATGGAATTGCAGTACTTCTAGGAATGGTGCAACCCCTCAGGGGACAAAAAAAAAAAAAGACTACATATTGGGTGCAGTGTACACTGCTCAGTGATGGGGGCACCAGAATCTCAGAAATCACCACTAAAGATCTATGTAACCAAAAACCACCTGTCCCCCAAAAATTATTGAAATTTTTAAAAATAATACCTAATTGCAAAATCTTTTTTTGTTGTGTTTTTTTGAGATGGAGTCTCGCCCTGTCACTCAGGCTTAAATGCAATGGTGCTATCTCAACTCACTGCAACCTCCGCCTTCTGGGTTCAAACAATTCTCCTGCCTCGGCCTTTTGAGTAGTAGGATGGCAGGTGCGCGCCACCACACACACCTATTTTTTTCGTGTATTTTTAGTAGAGACGGGATTTCACCATGTTGGCCAGGCTGGTCTCGAACTCCTGACCTCATGATCTGCCCAGCTTGGCCTCTCAAAGTGCTGGAATTATAGGCGTGAGCCACTGTACTCGACTTGCAAAATTTTAAGATAACAAAAAGGTAAAAGCAAAATTGTCACAATTTCATCATCAAATCGTTTCCACCCATCCATCATAGCTTCTAACCTTTATACGTATACATGCAATTAATTCATATATGCAATATTATGAGAATAGTTTGAGAGTCACCTTTTCACGTCTTATATCATTAGTATTTTTCCATTTCACTACTTTTTTTTCTTACTCCCACCTCATCCCCTTCAGATAACCAATACTCTACCTTTTTCTCTTCATTGAATCACCCAATGGTAGGGCACCAGAACAATATTCAAATTAGAACAATTGGGCGAGGTGTGGTGGCTCATGCCTGTAATCCCAGCAATTTGGAAGGCTGAGGTGAGCAGATTGATTCAGGTAAGGAGTTCAAGACCATCTTGGGCAATATAGTGAAACCCTGTCCCTACTAAAAATACAAAAAAAAAAAAATAGCTGGGCACGGTGGCATGCACCGGTAGTCCCAACTACTCAGGAGGCTGAGGCAGGAGGATTGCTTGAACCCAGAAGGTGGAGGTTGCAGTGAGCCAAGATGGTGCCACTGCACTCGAGTCTGGGTGACAGAGTGAGACTCTATCTAAAAAAAAAAAAAAAAAAAAAAAAAAAACAATTGGTTAGTTCCTCTCCTCTTTTCTTGTTCTCCTAACACTCAACTTTCAACCATAAAAACCATTAATGTCTTTCTTTTTTTTTAAAGACGGGGTTTCTCCATGTTGGTCAGGCTGGTCTCTAACTCCCGACCTAAGGTGATTCACTTGCCTCGGCCTCCCAAAGTGCTGGGATTACAGGTGTGAGCCACCACGTCCAGCCTTAATGTCCTTTTTAAGAAAATATTTTGGCGACTCATGCCTGTAATCCCAGCACTTTGGGAGGCCAAGGCAGGCGAATCACTCGAGGTCAGGAGTTTGAGACCAGCCTGGCCAATGTGGCAAAACCCCATCTCCACTAAAATTACAAAAATTAACCAGGCGTGGTGATACACACCTGTAATTCCAGCTACTCAGGAGTCTGAGGCAGAAGAATAGCTTCAACCCAGGAGGCAGAGGCAGTAGTGAGCCAAGATCGCACCACTGCACTCCAGCCTGGGTGACAGAACAAGACTACGTCTTCAAAAAAAAAAAAAATCCTACCTTCTTACTCCAGTAAACCCTATTTCCCTCCTACCCACCCCGACAGAAACTACCAGAAGGAGGTACAGCAAAGATTAACTTTTAAAAAGCAAAACAGGCCAGGCATGGTGGCTCATGCCTGCAATCCCAGCACTTTGGGAGGCCAAGACGGGAGGATCACGAGGTCAGGAGTTTGAGACCAGCCTGACCAACAGGGTGAAACCCTGTCTCTAGTAAAAATACAAAAATTAGCCAGGCGTAGTGGCACACGCCTGTAATCCCAGCTACTAGAGAAGCTGAGGCAGAAGAATTGCTTGAGCCTGGGAGGCGGAGGCTGTAGTGAGCCAAGATCGAACCACTGCACTCCAGCCTGGGCAATAAGAGCGAAACTTCGTCTCAAAAAAAGTAAATAAAGGCCGGGCGCAGTGGCTCATGCCTGTAATCCCAGCACTTTGGGAGGCCGAGGCGGGTGGATCACGAGGTCAAGAGATCGAGATCATCCTGGTCAACATGGTGAAACCCCGTCTCTACTAAAAATACAAAAAATTAGCTGGGCACGGTGGCGCGTGCCTGTAATCCCAGCTCCTCAGGAGGCTGAGGCAGGAGAATTGCCTGAACCCAGGAGGTGGAGGTTGCGGTGAGCCGAGATTGTGCCATTGCACTCCAGCCTGGGTAACAAGAGCGAAACTCCATCTCAAAAAAAAAAGTAAATAAAAAATAAAAAGCAAAACAGAGTCCTAAATTCACAACTCTTCCACAGATCACAGCAGTTAACACTGTGTGAATTTTATTTGCTTAGCTACTCATGCACATATGCTTTTCATTCTATTTTTTTCTTTCCCTCCCGCCCACCTATATATATAATACCCCAACTCACAACTTCCACCTTTACTCACAGTTTCAGCCGTCTCATAGCTCCTGCTCACACGTGGACCAACACTACCTTTCAACATGACCTTTCCATTTCAGCAGTTCTGCCATCCTCCTCAAGCCCCTAATATCTCCTGGCTCCATTTCTCAAGTTTACCTTTTCATGCCAGACATACTCATGGTCTCATCATCTATGACCTTGAGAGGAGGAGGAAAGGGGGGTATGGTGATATGATCTACCACTGCCCTTTTAGCAAAGACAGTGGAAGGGACATTTTTTCCTCCCTAGGACAGCTTTGGCCATGACTCCCCTCACCGCCAAAGCCACTGCCTTCCCTCACAAGGTTCTGCCTTGTTCATACCCCTTGCAGGACCTTTGAAAAAC